AAAAGCTGGGGGTCTGGAATAGACTAGAGCCAGCAGGCTGGGGTCGTTCACAGAACAGCAGAGGTTGATTGGTAGACAGGGCTGCTTCTGCTGAACCTCCTACCTCACCTCTCCCCATCTCCTTCCCATCCCATCCTCTCCTCCTCCTTCCATCCTCTCAATCCTTCTCTTCCCCATGCCCCTCCTCCTCTTCATCCTCACCTTCTTCCCCACATCCCCTCCCCATCTTTTTTACTTTCCTCCCATGCTTACCATCCTCCCCCTCCTCATTCTTCTCTTCATCCTCTCCCTCGTACCCATCCTCCTGTCCTTCCTCCCCACCCTTGTCCTACTCTTTTGCTACCATCTTCCTCCCTCCCGGGCGCCCACAGAGCCATGAACACCAGCCAGGTGGAGGCCCTGGGCATCCAGATGCTGCCTGGCTACCGGGACCCCTACCATGGACGACCACTCACCAAGGGAGAGCTGGGCTGCTTCCTCAGCCACTACAACATCTGGAGGGAGGTCAGTATCTGGAGTGAGGCCTGGGTCACAGTCCTTGGTTTCCTCACAGACTAAATCGGGCCCAGGGAAAGACTGTGGATCCCTTGCTGCCACTTGCCATAGGATCTGTGGCTATATTTTGGTGACTGTCACATGAACTGTCTTTATGTTGTCACTGGTACTTCTGAGTGGGGTGGCTGCTGCCCTTGCATCATGTAGATGCAGAAAATGAGCCTGGGAATTGAGGGGGACCATAGGTGAGGTCTGGGGCTGTGATCTGCAAGTGAGACCTCCTTGCCCCACAACTTGACTCTGCTCACTGTTTTTATGGAAGTGATGGTCTCTGGCATTAATATCACCAGATAACAGCTGATGATGCACCATGGTGTCACTCAAGAACCAGATTTGGGACCTGCAAACTGGAGGCGGGCTGGGTGGGGTGTTGGCTTCAGATGATGAGGTACAGGAAGCAGAGCATCTGGTGCCCCAGGGGATGGCTGCTCACATGGCCTCCCTCTTTTCCTGAAGTTCCTCGTGGTCAGTCTGTTAGCTCCATTGGATGACAACAAAGTCTCTTATGCTGTGGGCATTGAGCCAAGAAAAGCATTCTTGTTGTTGCCAAGAGGAAGGCTTCTTGGTATCACAGGTAGAACACAGGCAGAGGACCTGGGCAAGAAGAGCCCAGACAACTGGGAGAAGAGAGACATGGTGTGGAAGGTTGGGATGCATATTTCCTTCCTAGCCAGCAGCTCTGGGCCTGGTCTCTGTGACTCACTGGGACGCTTTGCCTCAGGTGGTAGACCGGGGACTACAGAAATCACTCGTGTTTGAGGATGATCTGCGTTTTGAGATCTTCTTCAAGCGACGTCTGATGAGCCTCATGCGGGATGTGGAACGTGAGGGGCTGGACTGGGACCTCATGTGAGTGGAGGTGATGGCGGGGTGGGATAGGACTCCAGCCTCAGGTACCGGCCTGGGCATGACTAAGGCTCAGAGGCACAGCCTGGGTCTTAGGGGCTGTCTGGAGCCTAGAGGATATCAGAGCTCTGCTGTCTTTTGGGTTGATTCAGTTCCCGCCCAATTTCCCGGTGCACAGCCCTGTCTCTTGTCTCTGTGTAGCGTTCTTTGGCAGGTGAGGGCCGTGTAACAAGTCTCTCATCCTGCACTCCAGCTACGTGGGCCGAAAGCGCATGCAGGTGGAACACCCCGAAAAGGCTGTGCCTCGTGTGAGGAACCTGGTGGAGGCTGATTATTCCTACTGGACGCTCGCCTATGTGATCTCCCTTCAAGGCGCTCGCAAGTTGCTTGGTGCCAAGCCACTGGCCAAAATGCTACCTGTTGATGAGTTCCTGCCTGTCATGTTTGACAAGCACCCAGTGTAAGGAGGCTGTGAAGCGTTATTTGAGGGGGTTGGGTGGCAGGCTGGGGTCTTTGAATCCTGGAAGATCAGGAGACTGTTGGGCTCTGGAGGTAGGGGCGGTGGAGCGAGTCCTAGTAGATTCTAAAGGAGGCTCTCTTTCTGAATGAACCCTTGGTCTCCAACTGCACTGTGTCTCTCCTGTCTCCCCTAGGTCAGAATACAAGAGTCACTTCTCTCCCCGTAACCTTCGCGCCTTCTCCGTAGAGCCCCTCCTTATCTACCCTACACACTACACAGGTGATGATGGCTATGTGAGTGACACAGAGACCTCAGTTGTGTGGAATAATGAGCAGGTTAAGACTGACTGGGACCGAGCCAAGTCCCAGAAGATGCGGGAACAGCAGGCACTGAGCCATGAGGCCAAGAACTCCGATGTGCTCCAGTCCCCTCTGGACAGTGCTGCTCGTGATGAGCTCTGAGGCAGCTGGCCAAAAGCCAGAGTCGCTGCCAGGGGTCTAAACTTCATGTGCTTGCCTGAGACTGTAGGGCCACCTCGGCAAATCACAGAGGCCTCTATGAGCTGGGTTGTCCCATGTCTTGTTCAGCAGCTACTTGCACACAGGTTTATGGAGTGCTTACTGTATGCCAGGAACAGGGCTGGGCACTGGGAGATCCGGCAGGAACAAGCCTAGTCTCTTGTGTCCACCATGAAGCAAGGTTTCTTATTACAGCAGTGAAAGAGGCATAATGATTTCCCTATCATCAGGTGTTTATTGATCAGACTGAGTCAGGTATTGGGGATATATGCTCATTTTTAAATCCATTTGAGTATTTATTGAGGACATACTATGTCTTGGGCACCATTCTTAGCTCTGGGAATACTGAAATAAGAAAAATTTCAACATACCCAGCACCTGCTATGTGCAAGATCTTGGGAATCACTGATGACTTGAGTGCCTCCTGTGTGTCACTCGCTGGCTGGGTGGGTCCCAGTGGTGCTCATCCCTCTAGTGGGTAGATGTGCTTGCAGGGGAATCGGCATTGTGCACCCTGTGTGCTGGGCTGCGTGCTAAGTGTGAGGACAGAGAGTGAGCAAAATGGGTTTCTTTGTGTAACAAGCATTTGGGGTACCTGGAGTGTGTCAGGCCTCGCACTCCCGCTGGCTTGAGGAGTGGCCGCCCTGAATTGCCTGTGGAAGGACGACGCCCTCCCGCACCCTGAAGAGAGAGTCACGGCCTTCCACTGGGCCGCTAGGTTTCAGGGTACTCGTGGCCTTGCAAGCCCCTGGAGGGGTGCAAATGAGGCCCACCTGCTTGCACAGCTTCTCCCTGCCCCTGCGTCTTAGGCGTCCCCTGCCTGCTCATGTGTTTGGGACCTTTAGCGGCCCAGCTGCACTGAGCTGCTCCTCTTGGCCTGGGCAGTTGTTTCCCAGCAGGGCCAGGGGGTCACTGTGCCTTTAAAGCCAAATCGAATGTCAACGGCCAGCAGGTGCCATCTCCTGGGAGATGACTGCTTGCCCGCTCAGGTTTTGATAACTTGCTCATGTTTGTATTAAATACTCCTGGTTGGTTTTCACCGAAGTCTGTAGTCTTGGTTCCCCATGTCCCTGTCCTGTGAGTCAAGATTTGGGGATAAAGTAGGCCTTGCAGGCACTTAAGAGAATGTGGGTGAGGATGTTTCCAGAACCCCATGTCCCCTCCATCCCATCAATCACCAGGGAGCACCTGCTGTGGATTGCCCAAGATGCCTGTTTCTAAGGAAACAGACTCCACAGTAATGTTTAGATGGTCAGGGTTCGGGGAAGGAGCCCGCCATGAGGCAACAGTGAGCAGATGCTGTGGCCCCTGGGAGAAAGGGTTGCTGGTTTCGGTTCCTGGCTCATGAAACAGGCCAAAAGCGGGAGGAACTCCAGGCCAGAAACACAAGGAGCTGCTGCCCAGCAGGCTCTGGCTTCCGCTCCACCCTGGCTGGCATGCTGTCCACCGGGCTCAGCCTGGGGCCACGCTCCCTGCTTTTCTAATCTAACCCAGATTAGACACTATCCACACTCAGCCCAGCTCCTACACACTGACGGAAACGCGCACCCACAGTCATCAGCGTGTCCTTGGGTCTCCTGTGCGCTCCAGCACTCCTTCAAACACCCAGGCTCACAGGGCCCTTTTTCACATGGTGCGGGGCCTACGTAGACTAGGAACCATTTTCCAGGGCTTGTTTTGTTTCAGAGAGGGTCTCATGTAGCTTGGGCTGCCCCCCAACTACGTACCAAGAGTGACCTTGATTTCAGACCCTCCTGCCTCTGCCTCCCAGAGGTTGTGATGACAAACATATCCAGCAACAATGGTCTACCTCCAGCAATCCTCTGCCCCTTGGTTTCTATTGCCCATGGCTGCGCTTGCTGGCTGCTCGGGCGTGCTGTTGCTCTGGGACAGGAAGACTTTGGACACCTGGTCTGCATGTTGACACCCTATCCCCTGCTGGGTTTTTTCTTAATTTAATGTGAGGGTGGGAGTGGCTTCCGTGTGGGGGTGAAAGGACAATTTCTGGAAGCCTATCCACCACATGGGTTCTCAGGGTTGAATTCAGCCCCAGGCTTTGCAGCAAGGACTGCTGGGTCCTCTCGAAGGGCCCTGGCTGAGATTTTTGTCAAAAGGAGCACAAGCACTCGGCCTCTGTGCTTTTTCTTTTTTAATGTTAATAAAATATTTTTTACAGAGACCAAAAATTCAGAATAGTGCAAAACATCTCAACGCCATGCACTCGTAAACACTCCCGGGGTATTTTGAAGATGTGTTCCAAGTCACTGAGAAATGAGAAATTTCTCAGTTGACTGAGAAATGAAGGCATCTTGGAAGATGCTGGGCTAACAGGGTGAACCTAAAAAACACTCAAAAAAAAAAACCTCTTGGATTCTACATTTGCAGTCACATGCTAAGAAAGGCAGGTGCAGGGGCTCCCTGGGCTGCTTGGCAGGGGTTGGGGTCAGGAACCTTCTGGAGTGCAGGGAACCTCGATCTGCACCACCTAGCGGCTGTGGCTGAGAGGGTTGGACCCAGCGGGTTTGCAGAGCCAGCTTTGGTCCTAAAAGATGCTTGGGGATGGGCGGGGCCAGCCGACCCCGCCCCTTGCTCCATCCCCCAGGAGTTCTGTGCATTTGATTTTTTGCATGTCTGATGGGACAGGTGAGGCAACAGGCCCAGGAGCCCAGAGGGACTGGGGTGCAGAGGAAGCCTCTTCAAGTTCTGACTCCACCCAGGGTGAGCTGACGACAAGGCCTTTTTAATTTGTCGATGTTGGCGAAGGAACCCGGAACAGTACATGATTGGCAGGTGCTGAGCCACTCCCCAGCCTCCTCCCTGGGGAATTTTAGGTAGGGTATGGATGAGCCTGGACCCAGATCCTTCCACCTGCTCGTCCTTGCTCCCCTTTTCTGCCCACACGGCAGCCTCCCTCATCCCCTGGCATCTGTCGCCGCTAGTCCCGTCCCTCCTGTGGGAGGGGCCGTGGCTCTTTCCAGCCTGCTGTGGACCAAGAGTTTGGAGCTGCACCCCAGTATAACTTAATGCAGGACCCCAGCAGCGCCCGGCAGCCCAGGTCCACCAGGCAAGGTGGTGAGAACTCCAAGGGCCTTTCAGGACTGGACCTGGATTAACTTCCTTTGAGGACACTGCTATGCCAGGGGCTGTCCTGAGAGCAGAGCTGTCCCCTCTGCACCTGGGGCTCAGCTTGGACACCTCCCATGGCAGGGGAGAGGGATCTGTCTGGGCGGGGGGAGTTGTAAGGACAAACATGCTTGTGAAGGCGGGTCATAGGCAGACCCCTCAACCACTCAACACATAATTCAAGTCAGCACAACCTTCCTTCAGTTCCTGTGGCCTGCTTATGCTGGGGAAGTGTGGGGCTTCCATGAGGCCGAAGCCTGGGCGTTAGGAGAAACAGTCAGGCACAGACTCCCAGTCTTCTGATATCAGGGCCAAGTCAGAGAAATGAAAGAATGGCCTCGGGAAGTCCTTGAGAAATGTACAAAAGATTTTTGTGATGGGTGTTGAGGGATGAATAGGTGGGTAAATAAAAGAAAAAATTTCAAACAGTCCTAGCCTGGGAATCAGAACACGTCACTCAACAAACACTCCCATGTAGCTCGCTCAACAGTCTGAGGCTAGAAAACACAGACATGGCCCTAATTAGCTTGGCTCACACACACCCCCACCTCACGTTCTTGTCAGCGATTTAGAAACTTTGTATGGCTGGTCTCTGGGCAGGCCACAGCCTCTTTAGCTATGCTTGATGCCCTAAAGTCTAAGTCACTCCTTCCTGAGCTCAGTGTGGTTGGGAGTTCTCCCTTGTCAAGGTGTAGAACACAGTCTCTGAGCTCCCCTGTACCTGGATGGAGTCTGTATCCTACCCTGTCACTGCATGTGTCTGAATTCAAGGGACATGCTTTGATTTCAAGCTAATAGAAAAAGGTCGCCTGTCTGTAACCACAGGACCCTGGATATTCTCGCTCGCTCTGTCCTTCCTAGTTCCTGGTCTCTTGCGGTTCTTTCCTGCCTGGATTTGGAGAAAGGACAGTGCGCTCCTAACTCAGGGGAAACCCCCAAGCCCTCCCCCCCTTCTTGGCAGGACTAGCCGGATTCCGCCTAAAGTCCCAGGAGGAAGGGCATGGACGGGGCTCTTGTTTGGCAGCCTGAGGGTTCGGGGGGCCCTGGTCCTGGGGTCCCTCAGTAAAGAATTGGGGAGAAGGGTATTTAGCAGCGATGGGGGCTGGGCCATCCCTCAGAGCTCAGCCCCCCGTGTGCAGCACGAGCAGGTCACCAGCTGCCAGCAGCGCTGCTGAGGGCGGGATCCTCGGGGAGGGACGCCCTCAGGCCCTCGGCTGCGCTGAGGGCACGTGTGCTTTTGAAACCCCATCCCGCGCTGGGTTTTGCACAGACATCAGGAGCTGTCCCCGCCCCCAGGCAGCCCTGCCCAGCCCAGGCCCTGGGCACCGGACCTTCTATGGCTTTTCCAGGGCCAGGAGGCAGGGCCTCCCCAGCCAAGGCCACTGATGTGGGGCGTGGCCTCTGGAGAGGGCGTGGCTGCAAAGGGCGGAGCCTTACCCGCTCTCAGGTCCCGCCCCATCCCAACTAGCGCTAGGGCGCTGGTGCGGCACCCCCCTCCTCGGCCGAGCGTGTGTCGGACTTGAGCTTGACGAACTCCTTGGCCACCTCATCGTTGCTGCGCTGCGACAGGATACGCAGCACCGTGAGCCCCGTGTCGTCCATGTGGATGCGGCGGCCGAGCGGCAGCCAGCACGCGGCGCTCCCGCGCTGGGCCAGCTCCCGCAGCTGCAGCACCGCCAGCCCCACCGTGCGGTCCTCGCGGGCGAAGCAGTAGTCCTTCACGCACACCTGCAGTTCATAGCACTCGGGGCCTGCGTCGGCGCTCAGGGAGCTGTGGGGAAGGACCGGTTCAGCAGAGCCGGCCCTGAGCGCGTCCCCCGCCGCCACGCCCGCGCGAGCCAGCAGAGCCACTCACACCACTCAGCCCTCAGGTTAGCAATTAGTACCCCATGTGAGACCCTTCACCCTCCCGGACCGTTCCCAAAGAAAGCCCGCCCTAGGCCATGCCCCCTAGGGAAACCTCTAGGGGCAGGCGGCTGAGAAAACCCCAGAGCCCAGCTAAGCTCCTCCCAGCGCACAGGGCTCTCCCCGGCCGGCTTCCTGATCTCTTCTCTCCTATCCCCCGGCCACGCTCCTCTCCTGGCCCTGCCAAAGCCTGCTTTCAGCTCAGTTCTCCGCCGTCCGCCTCCTGAGCCCCGACTACCCTCCTACCTCTGCAGTACCACCACGGTGGCGCGGCAGCCGTCCCCACCCCGCACCACGCTCAGAACCGACTACTCAGAACCGACATAACCATTGGCAGGAGCAGGCTGGCTGTTCTCAGTCCCTGACCCTTGTGACCTCTCTTCCGTGCCCAGGATTCATCCTTCTATCCCTTCCTCCTTCCTTCCTTCCTTCCTTCCTTCCTTCCTTCCTTCCTTCCTTCCTTCTTTCTTCTTTTTTTTTTTTTTCGAGATAGGGTTTCGAGTCCTAGACTCACTTTGTAGACCAGGCTGGCCCCGAACTCACAGAGATCTGCCTGCCTCTGCCTCCTGAGTGGGCTTGCAGGCGCACGCCATCATACCTGGCTGCCCACCCCTGTCCCTCCTACCCCAACTCCGAGCCTATTGCCTCTCCACAGACCCGCCTGTCTCAGAAAGAGCCCATAACCCCAAGTCCCACTCTGCACCCACCACCCGTCGGCACCAGTCGCAGCTGGCCCAGGTCCATCGAGGGCGCCCCACCCCCACTCCAGGAGGCCCCACTCACAACTGGAAGCTCTCGTTGTACTTGGGCGCCCAGCTGTTGTTTTTGGATTTGGTGGCGAACTTGCGTTTTTTGTCGCTGAGGTGAGGTCCAACGATGTTGACCTCGATGAATGGACGGAAGATGCCAGAAGTCTGCCACTTGAGGTCGTTGGCGGCCACCACTGTTGGGGGCAGCGGAGAGGTCTAGTGAGGTTCCCCGTGAAACAGAAGGATACCCTGGGGAGCAGGGACTAAGCCTGGGGTCCTGGAACTCCTGGGTTGTAGCCATGCCTGAAGGAGGTTTGTCTCAGGATTTTTCCATTTTCTAAACCATCAAAGAAACAACTCCCTGCTCCGTTGGCTTCAGTGAGTCTGAATTTGGTTTCTTCCCTCTTTGGCCACTCACCTTTCACTGTGACCTTCTGTTCCCCAGTTCCTGGATGCGTGAACAGCTCCACGTGGACAGACACTTCGCCCACAGGATCTTCCACACCCGAGCCTGGGCAGGACAGGGGAAGAGCCTGACATGAGCTAGGTTCTTGCTCACACAGCAGGAAAGACCTCTCCAACTAGTGCTGGCGGCACCAGGTCACTGAGGCACTGAGGGCATGGGGCACAGGTTTCACTAGGAAGCTAAGAGTCCCAGGTGTGGGTTCATTCCATTGCTTCGCTGTGTGAGTTGCCACAGGCCTCTTACTGAACGAGTGGTCTGCCTTGTTTTCCTGGGTTCTCCCAGCCCACCAGCCTGCTTCAATGATCTTCTCCAGCTGACTCTTTCCCGACTTTTCTCCCACCTCCTTCTCTGGGTGTCCGTCAAACTCTCTTGTCCTCACTTTGGCCGTGGGTGCTGGGACACAGTGCCCCGCCCACAGGCTCCTCCCGGGTTTTCTGAACGCTCCTGGATACCCCATCCTCCGGAGTGCCAGCTTCTTTAGCCCTTCTTCTGACTCCACAGGCAAATTTTAATTCCTACTGAGAAGCACTTCAAACTCTGGCAGGCTTTAACTCAATTCCAGACTTTGATTATAAGCTGGCCACAAAGGTCTCCAAGGAGACCAACTGACCAATGGCTTTGGAGCCTGGATCCAGTTATTCCTGAAGCCAACAAACCCCTAATCTTAGTCTCCTAGTCAACAAAATTGTCTGCTTGTGTGGTAGCCATGAGCATGTCTCTTCTGGTCACCATTAGGTGTCAGGATGGCTGTGATGGGCACGCATGAGGGGTCAGCTTAAAAACTACTGCCCAACCACCCCATCTGTGACTCAGAAGCAAGCCCGCAGGGCCTGTAGACCTGTGACCGCCAGCACCCCACCAAACTACCCGTCCCCAGGCATCTCCCCACTCCTGGGGCACCCCATGCACGGACATGGCAAGGAGGAGAAAGTGGGAGGCAAGGGGATCGGGCTAGTCAAAAGTCCATCCAGGGTACCTGTGCTGGACGGGAAGTGATGAGTCAGGGAACAGAAGGGCCAGGAGGCTCCTGCAGCCCCTGAAGAGGGGCACATGGCCCACTGTCCACCCAGGCGGTCACCCATTTCATCTCAGATATTTCCCCAGTCACATGCTCAGCCCCCTCCCCCCAGGCCAATGCTTCAGCAAGCTCAGTCCAGGCCAGAGGTGGGGTGCTGGGAGTTAGACATGATGGGTTATGTAAGAGGTCAGACCAAGGCCCAGGCTAGTAAGAAGGGAGAAGGGGGCAGTGCCAGCCCCCACCAGAGGTTTGCTGGCTCCATCAGGAAGGGCCTGTCACACACCCCCCCCCCCCCCCCCCCCCCAATGACCTGGGTACCCTTGCAGGGGAAGGAGGCTGCCTTGACCCTAAGCCACAGGTGCCCATGGGAAAGCTGGATGGGATTGGGTGTTTGGTCAAGGCATGAACATGTGATCCTATTGTCTTAGCCTCCCATGTACAGGGACCACAAGCCTGTGCCTAAAAATGTCTGTCTTGACTGTCCCTGCTTTCCAGGCAACAGAACCGTCTCGGAAAGGAGGCTGGCCCAGGACCTGAGCACACTTTATTGTTTGGTGTTTTATGCTTTGCTGGGGATGGAAGCTGCCAGCACAGCCTTGAGTGAGTGTGGCTTGGGAGAAAGGGATGGGACTCCTTCCTCAGGTGGAGCCAGCAAGCCACCCTTCCCCACGTGCGCCTGGCACAGGGAGGCCGGTATCTTACTAGCCGGGCAGAGGGGGAGGGCGCAGGCACCGGGCACCACGTGCGGGTGGCGGGCGGCGCAGGCACGTACCCATCTCAGGACAAACGTCTTCACTAAGGGTAAACCTAGTCCCCTTTCCACCATGGACTGACCAGGGTGGATGGGGAGGGAGGAGGAGGAGAGGAGGAAGGAGTGTGCGTGGCAGGGGTGGGGGAGGCGCAGAAAGGGGACAGCGAGTGACAGGGAGAACAAGAGAGAAAGAGACAGAGAGAGGGAGAGAGACAGAGACAGAGAGAGAGGCAGAGAGAGAGAAGGGGAGAGAGAAAGAAACGTCAGTGCAGACGGACGTACAGACAGACAGCCTCCCACTCCGGGAACACCAGGGACACCAAAAGCAACAAGAACAGGAGGGGAAACTGAGGGTTGGACTCTACCCGCTGTGCCTGGGGGCGGGTGAATGACAACCTTCCACACTTCGGCAAGAGGACAAAGTCTGAGGCCACCAACTTCTGCCCAGGCGGCACCTTTGGGGTTATTCTGAATCGGGGGTCCCCAGGGAGAGGAGCTGGGACCTTGGAGCCCTGCCCTCAGCTGCTATTCCAGAGCTCAGGGGGCAGGGGGGCAGACGCAACACAGAGAGAGGAAGAGAGGATCGGGGGCTATCTGAGGCCTCCCACCTCCCAGGTCCCGGTCCTTCACCCTCTTAGACTCATTCTACACCTTGGATACAGAGCAGCGGCCCCGCCCCTAAGGAGGCCACCAACGCCTGGGATCCCTGACGGCAGATTTTACCTGAAGCTGCCAATCATCTCATAGTCTTAGGGCACCACAGAAGCCCCGCCCCAGAGCCGACAACCAGGTCTCTCCCCTCGATGACAGTGGCCTTAGAAGCTATCAATTCCTGGTCCCTGGAGTCTGCGCAGTGCCCTCCTAAGGCTGTCAACTACCCCCTGTTATTGGTTTGTTGTTTTTTTTTTGTTTTGTTTTGTTTTGTTTTGTTTTGTTTTTTTGCTTTGAAAGAATCGCCTTTGGCGCTTTGATGCCCGAGGCCCTGGTCCCACCGCCGTCTGTCAATCACTCGGGGGTGGAGCCCGCAGCTGTGAGCCCTTACCTTGCGCGGACTGAGTCTGCACGAAGGTTTTGATGAGCAGGTCGGTGGCCTGCGTGTAGAGCGAGAGGGCGTAGCGTAGGGATTGAAGGTCAGGACTCTTCTCCAGAAAGGTCTTCTTGAGGCCCACGCCCCCCGCGTGGAAGTATTGCTGAGGTGGACAGGGTGAGGCTGCTGATGGCTCCAGCACCTCCGCTAACATGCAGGCCTCTCACCTTCCCCATCTCCAGAAGCTACAGCCGCCCCAGAACCTTTGCCTTTGCTGTGCGAGCGAGCGAACAGTGGAAAGGCACTCCCTGCCCACTACCCATATACTGTACCTTGTAAACTCTTATGCACTCCTTAAAACCCGCTTCCTCGTGCCCTCTCTTAAAGCCCTCTGTGGCCCCTCCCTTACCTTGATGGTGTCCAAAGCCAGCTCGACCACGGCGCACTGCTTCGGGGTCAAGCTCTTCGCTTCTTCTCGCACCATGTGATCCTGTGGGGATGGCAGGGAGAGCGGTGGGCAAAAGCTTTGACCTGTGAGCCTGCACCTTCCATGCTGGGAATCAAGCGAGCCTTGATCAAGCCGACTCGCCTCTTCTCAGCATGCTCAAGAGCGTTCGTTTAACGTGCTGTTCAGGTCTGAGAGCAGGGATTTTCCTCTGCTCCGTCTCTTCCCCTTGACATCTTCTGCCCCCTCACCTTAAGTTTGGACAGCTGGCCCAGCTCCTTGGCAGCGTTGAAGATCATTTGTGTGCCCTGTGGAAAACAGCAGACAGCGGGGTGAGGGTGTCCATTTTCTAATTGGTTCCCCAACCCCGAGCAATCCAGGCCCACCTTGATTCCTGTCCACAAGGCTTGAATCCCAGGCACAGAAGCGTTAGGAGCCCTACTGAGATCAAGGAGCACAAGGCACCTTGTACCCAGAGAAGCCCAGTTCTATGGGAAACTGCCCTCTCACACCCATCATGGTTCCCCAGATTGGGAAGACATACGAGAAACAGGACCCGGCAGCCCGGCAGCCTGGCCATGTGTGGTGTGGTGTGGTAAGGGAGTAGCCACATGGCCTGGCAGTGGCAATGGACCATGGGCCAGCCTGCGCTTTTAGGGACCCACCCTTGGGAATCTCCTTCCCCTTCTGGGTGGGGAAGAAGCCCACTCTGGGCATCAGGAAGACTGCTCACAACTGATGTCTGCACATACTCCCCGAGGTGCCCACCAGGTACCAAACCCAACAGGTGATTTAACTGCTGAGTCTGTTCCCTGTTAACTGGGATCACAGCTGCCCTGTGGCCTTGACGGGCTGCGATAAGTCTTTGCTGACTTGTTTTCGGTCTTGGTCTCATCGCAGGCAATGCATGGCAGATTGGGTCCCGGCCCAAGAGCCACGCTGAGCTGGATGACCTCAGGCCAGTGCCTTGCCCTTTCCTAATTAGCAACTTCTGGGAGGAAAGGGCTGGCTCCACCAGCTGAGGCACCTGGGGTATTCTGGCTGGGCTGTCTACTGGCAGATGTTTGAAGACTGCTACTGACCATCTTTTTTACTTCAGGCTGTCACTATTATTATGTGTCATTCTGTCCTGGGGAGGGATGGAAACCCAGACCTCACAAGGCTGCAAGCACTCAGCGGGCTCTCTCCCACTGCGCCACGCACACCCTCAGCCCCACAGTCTCAGGCTCCCTGAGGCTATGAGAACCAGAGTGACCGAAGCCCAGTTGTCTGGGCCTCAGTTTTCACTGTTGCGCCCACCTGTGCTCCTGTGAGAAGCAGGGGTCCTCCTGAGCTTCCTCCATGCCTCCCACTGCCCTTCCCTACCCACCAACAAGCAGGCCAGACAGACAGAGGAAGAAGAAATAACAGACAGAGCAACAGGACGCCCCCGACGCACGGAGCACAGAGTGGAAGGGGCAGGGAGGAAGAGGATGGGGTGGGAGCCAGACAGACAGTGAGAGGCCGGGCTTACGTCTGAGTGGCTTGGCAGTTTCACCCTGCCCTGTGGAGAGAACCAGGCGGAGGTCAGAGTTCTGGTGGGTGCTGAAAGGATACTCAGTGGGACTTCCCTGACCCCTGAAATCACAGGGTGAGCTCCCCCACCCCCAGTTACTAAACTAGGTACTATCTCTTCCACAGCCGAGGCACTTGACCTGTCTCTGCGTGTGAGCACATGCTGGGGCCCTAGAAGGGTGCAAGCCAACTATAGGAGCTTGTGGGGGGTGAGAAGGCAAGGAGGGAGAGGCTGTAGGTCTCCGCACCCCAACATGACCGAGCTAGTGACCATAGAAAACGCCCTGCAGCTCCAAGCCCATTTAGTGCAACACACACCCCAAAGCACACAGTCACATGCACACACACTTGCTCACACACACATACACACACATGCACACACACACACAGTCGAGCACATGCATGCACACACAAAGACACTCTAGACCTGCAGACAGATTCTGCAGACACTCAAAATCATCAAATCACACACGCAGGAGCCTCCCAGGCCAGAACACACACATTTTGCATGATCACATGCAGACTCCTGCCTCCTTGACCCCACCTGGATGCGCAGTGCCCCTGGAGGGCTGGCCAGGACTGGGAATGCCCTATGCCAGTCACAACCCTGAGACCCACTTAGGGGACAGAGAGGCCTGATGAACTGCGCGTGTCTGAAATCAAGCAGGTACCCACATTTTGCCTCAGCCCCAGCTCCTTGCAATAAATATCCATTAAAACAACGAAAACCCAGGCTTTGGTGCGGCCGGCCAGGGTGTGGCCCTTGGAGGCCACAGATGTCAGCTAAGCTTAGGACTGAAGAAGGAAGGGCTGTGCACACGGGCTCAGGAGAAGGATCTGAGCTCTGACTTCAGGGTCTTAGGGAACAGATCAAGAGCCGCCTCCCACTGTGACCTCAGCTGACCTTCCTACCCAAGCAGGAAGCACAGGAGCACTCACGCCCGGACACCAGGGACCCCGGCAAGCCAAGGTCCTCATTACCTTTTCTAGGCCCTTGCCATGTTTTCTCAAGAGGGTGCCCTGCAGAGACAATGTCATAGCGAGGTCAGGACCCAGGAGTATCACAGCCCCCATGTAGAGATTGGGGGGAGGGCTGAACTGACTGGGGGTTGGGGAATGCTGGGGAACTGTGGAGGCTCACTCTTATGAGGGGATGGGGGAGAAAAGAGAAGAGAAAGCATATAATCCAGAGGGAGGAAGAAGGATCAAGGGGAGGAAGCCAGAAGACAAGGAGAGCAGGTGGGGAAGGAAAAGGAGAAGGAAAAGACAGACAAGGGGGGAGGGGAAGTAAGCGGGGAAGAGGAGAGAGAGAGAGAGAGAGAGAGACAGAAGAAAGGGGGGGGAGCAAGGAGAGAGATGAAGTCGGGGAATGAGGAGAAAAAGTAGGAGAAAAGAGCCAGGGCCAGAGCCAGAGAAAGCCCAACGTAAAAGCCATTGTCAAAATATAAGCCATTTACATTTGATGAACAAAGAAGCCCGCTGGATCCCAGGTTAGCAGAAGCACCCCACTCCACACTGAGACAGATCTAATCCTGTGCCGGCTTTACACTTGTGGCCAGAGCCAGGAGGCTCCTCTCGCAGCCCTTGACTTTCCTCAGATTGGGTTGAGACCTCCCTCAGAGGGCTGCCATAAAGTAAGCTTCAACAGACACTGGCCTGTCAGAAGCCATCAGTATCTCATGTTCCTTATGCTCCGCCTACAACTAGCCCCCGGGCACTGGGCATGTAACTGGGTGGCTGCAGGGACCCACGATACGCCCTCTGGGCAGGTGAGCCTGGGAAAAAGTAAAGTGCCAGGGTGGCCTCACCTGACCCACAGAGAGCTGTGGGGACGGTTTTACTAATGGCTCTGAGGGCACTGGGATTGCTCTCTTCATTCTGGAAGCTCAGAGAATCCCGGTAAGAAACCCTACTTTCTTCCCATTTCAGGAAACTAAGGTTGGGAGGTGAAGAGATTTTCCCAGGTCTTGGTCTGGGCAAAGTGGTGACAGCCAGACTGCCGACAGCATGAGCATGTCTCCCAGCTGGGCCTCCAGCTGTGTTGGCGTGCGCACTGTGGCAATAGAGGAGTCATGGGGACGCATAGTACACAGCATGGCATGAGTTGCATGGGAGAGAGAAGTCCCCACTCCCACCTGCCACCTCTGAGACTGGATGACTCCATCCAGGGGACAGGAACAGGCTCTGCTTCTGAGTGTGGGAGGGGCTTGTCCTCCCAGCCTCACCCCTCTAATGCCCCACCCACCAGCACACAGATACAAAGTCAGGAGGAGGGAAGGAGGGGGTACTGGGAGGGTGGGGGTGGACCTAGTCCAGACACACATCGAACGAACGACGACCGACAGACAGACGGACAAATGGGTCTCTACTTACAATCATCTGCCAGCCGAAATGGGGGCAGGGTGGGGAGAGGGGAATAAGTCACTGTGAGTGGCCCTGGGAGGACAGAGGCTGTGATGCCCAGCCCTGGCCCTGCCCAGAGGACCAGTCCTTAGCTCCCAGCCACAGGCACCTAGATGAGGCCTCTCCACCCTCCTCCACCCAGCAGCCAGCCCTGGGCCCTCAGTCTGTATTATCAGTGTCTCCTGTACCCTCAGATGTTCCCAAGCTCCCTGACTGGAAATCTGGCTTGTGTTAGCTATGGACTCTGATGCCCTCTCTGTCTTTCCAATCTTCCCCAGTGTTCACCCTTGGCTATACCTGAGTGACCTCCCTGAACCCCAGTGTCATTGTCCTTACCCCCTATCTTGGAGGCACTGAGTTCCCCTGGCTTCCCTCACAGAGATGGCCAGGTGTCCTAGGAGCCAGGCCTCACCGTTTGGTCAGTGAGTGGAGGCAGGACGATGGTCTTTTCCATGGTGTTCATCACTAGCTTCCACAGCTCCTTCAGCACTCGCTTCAGAACAGTCTTCTCACAGATTTTGGCGAACAGCGTGAGGCTAGAGGTGAGGCTGAGGTCAGGGAGAAGGGCCATCCAGGCCCCTTCCCTCCACACCAAGCTTGACCCGACAGGGTGACCACGCATGGAGTGTGTAGGGAAGGCAGACAGCAGGGCTTTGAGGGAAATGGCCAGGCCTCATGCTCAGTACAGGGAAGCTAAGGATTGTGCAAGGCAGAGATGCACCAGGATATTCAATATGAAAGATGAGAGGCCTGATGACCAGAGAGTCCAAAGGGCCTGAGGTCATGGCCAGGACCCAGACAGGATGGCGAGAGGACAGATGAGGAGAGTAAAAGGCCTGACAATTCCTGATGCGACTTAAGTAAGTTGGAGGAAGGGGACAATCTACCAGTATGCATTTCCCAGCTAACCCCTCACTACCAATAGCAGCCCTAAATTCACCACCATTATCCCAAACCCCAACCCAGTTTTCAATGCACCATCTAGTCACCCATGCACCCATCCATCCATCCACCAGCCTACCCATCCATCCACCAGCCTACCCATCTATCCACTCATCCATCCATCAGCCTACCCATCTATCCACTCATCTATCCATCCACCAGCCTACCCATCTATCCACTCATCCATCCATCCATC